TATTATATATTATATATGTCTGATAAGTTTTCTTTTAGTAAGTTTAACTCCACTTATATTATTAATCAAAGGATATATTTAAAGGAAGCAAGAGCTATTGAGAGGGAGAGAAAGACATAGACAAAGAGAGAATGTGTGAGTGGGGCAGGGAGAGAGAGAGTGAGAAAGAGAGGGAGAGAGTGTGAGAGAGATAGTGCAGGTCTACTACATACATTATTAATGTACAAACAACAATGCCACATAAGCACATACAAACATACCCAAACTTGGAATAAAGACAAAAGAGAGATGCAACTTTAATTTCAAACATATTTTAGTTACATTCTTTTGAATCTTGTTTCAGCAAAGCAGAGTAAAAAAACAAATAGAGTGAAACACAAATGGAAATGAAGTGAAACAGTTAATTAAGTCAAAAACAGTACAACTGCCTTTAGTTGCAGTTAACTCAAAAATAAATATAAAGAAAATGAAAAGAACCAAATTAATCCCAATTTCTTTCAATAAACATAGTTCTATATGAATGAACTTTGCTATTTACTACCTTGATTTAACGGCCAATTGCTTTATCGCCTTAATTCGCTAAGACAGAAGGAATTTCGTTTTTATACCCTGAACCCATTTTCAATTGCAAATGACGGTATAATGGTTTTGTGGAAATGTATGTAGCAGGCAGAAGGAGGCGTGGCTGACGCCATGAAGTATATTTATTCTTGAATAATCAATTTCGTTTTTTCAGCGTGATTTGAACACTATTAGACCTAGAGACGTTAGGTCTACTGCGTTTCTACTTTTGATGATATACATTTTGATATACATACATATGTATTTTGAAATTCACAGATTTTGGGTACCATGCTTCCCTCGCCGCTAATTTGTAAAATAAGTATTTCAAGTGACTTGTGCTTTGGAATTTAAACACATTTGAACATTATGAAAGTTTCATGAAGATAGTCTTACATATTCAACAAATTCTCATACTTTCGCCCTCACTGCAGTCAAAAAATACAGAGCCGAGCAAACACGAAGTGGATTGGTGTTAACTGCATGTTTTTTGGATGCAGATGGAAAGAGTAGAGTATCTTTTAGCCGGATAGTGCCGGTGATGTAGGGTAACCGATTCAAGGTAAATTAATCGGTTGTGCTAGTAAATTAGTGTCAAACTAGGATTTGCTTTACTTCGAATATTAAGATGTATAATAGTATATATATTTATAAGTTCTGAACGAATCAAAATTATTAACAAACAAAAATTAATTCTGGCGACCAGTGTTAAAAGGGAATTACCGTTATTAATTGAGACGGAATATGTCGGAAACAATTGCAAAGGTCATCTACGGCACCGTCCTGCTGGCGATGATATTGCAAACGCCTAGGGTGTCCATTGTAATCACATACGATCCGAACCGCTCTTATCACTTCAATGCCGGGATCAACGGTATCCGGTCGAGCTTTCTGGTCGCCGCACTCTTCACTATGATGGCCGTGCTGCCCGTTCGTGAGTTCAATGGATTCATTAAGCCTGGCAAGAAACTGTTCCTGATGCTAATCTTTCCGTGGGTATCCACCTGTTGTATGATGTTTGTCTCCAACTCAGTGCTGCTGCTGAGGATTACGGAACGAACGCTAGTTCACAATTCCTGGAACTGTTTCGCCAAAGCTCTGCTGGCCTACTGCGCTCTCTTCGGATTCGCTACAGAGCTGATGCTGCACTGGTACTCCATCTATCAATACCATAACTGGCAACACGCCATCCACGAAAAGTCCCCAGCTTTATAAACCTGACACTGTTGCGACTGATGCCTCCAATGACACTAGCGACATTAGTTGATCAACATTGTTATTGATAAAAATCCCATTCACACGCATATACTACACGATCCTAATTATAAATGTCTTCAACTGCTACTGCTGAAAATAAATGCTGTCGAAATTAATAACAGTAAGGTAATCAATCTCCGGCTAGCTTCCATAAGTGGTAAAGCTATTTTCATGCAGCTTTCAATTTTGATTAAATCAAACAAGTTTTCTTTTCAATTGTTATGTTTATTGTTTTTCATTTCTTCATTTCGCTTCTGTTTCCTGCCTTCAATTTCAATTCTGTTTTTCTTCCAAGTTTTCAAGGAAATTTGCACCATGCAACAAAAAAAGCAAAAAGATGGAGCAGCTCTAGCTTCGGTTAACCGAACAACTGATGCCCTTACAATCACAAAAGACTTCATCAGATTTCGATCACAAGCCAATCTAAAATTATCTCAAGATTACGAAGGACTACAACCTTTTCGAAGTCATTATCTAAATTTGGTTAGTAAGACTAGGCTGCACAGTTATCAGACAAACAGACATCATTTAAGTAAGGCTCTGCAAGGGCATAGACGTAACACTGCTGGTTAATAGCTTGATCAAGATAATATTGAGTTCTTAAGCTAAACAGCTGGCTGAATAATTGGACGCAACATTTGCATTTGGTTATAACTAGGTATTACATTTCTCCAATATTTTCATTTAGTTAGTTATATATATA